CACATTGAGGCACAGCCCTTGTTTGGTGACACAAGTATTGACTATTGGAGTTCTATTTAGGAGGAAGAACTATAGTATTTTGGCCTCACTAGTATACTTCTGCTTCAGCTGCTGATGTAAGCATTTCTATAGGTTTGTTCCTGGACTAGCAACGTTTTCAACAGGTCCTCTTTTGTGGAGATTTTGTCCCTTTGATTGCTGACAGTGAATAAAAAGTCCCCTTGCTTGAAAGAGAATGTGACAATGGTATAATACATTTTCCCCTAAAACTTTGATTTTTTTGTGCAATCCCATGTCTAAGAAGCAGGTCCCTTATAGCTCTAATAATACAAGAATTGGGTCTTTAAAATCCCATCATTGCAGGAATTAAACCAACTCTGACAGATGGTGGTCAGCTTGTGGTTGCACACTTCTAATGAATGGGAGTGTACCACTGGTATTTGTTTCCACTTTTGAATTGCTCTATTAAGATTTCATAATATTCAGCTGGAAACTACCTTTCTATAGCTTAAGACTATTATTTGTTGCCCTGCATGTTGGTTAGTAGAGAAGAGATCATGACCCTCTTCTGGGTAACAACATTGGTACAAAACCAACTCCTCATATAATATCTCCCTCAGTTTGAAATGTATCCACTGGCAACTCTGAATATAATTCTTAAGCCATCTATCTAATAGCCATGGCTTGGAACACATATAAATTTAATTATTAATCAGAATATCTTGGAGAACTTTGTCAAATATTTTACTGAGATCAAGCTATATTAAGTTCACTGCACTCCCAACATGTATTAAATAAATACCTGATTTTAAAATGTAATACATATAAATCCAGTACTTTAGGATAGCTCAAAAGTAATACAGATGCATACAGATAGTCAGCGCGTTTATTCAATATTCTAAGATGTAACTCATCTGGTTCTGACAATTTGAACTCATTCAAAGTAAATAAGATCTTCCTTGACAATTGGTTTATTAACCTTAAAGCTCAATCCTGACCCTTTAAGCAGCTCTTTGCATTGCATTGTAGAACACACATTCTCTTGTTGGGGAAGTCTGAACCAACATAGTAGTTGTTCTACCTTTCTTCGTTACCACTCAGCATCCACTTTCTCATGCAAATTTTTGACTTGTTCTGTCTCCATGACACATTTTGTCTTACAGACCCTCCTTCTTTCTTAAGACCACTTTTTGTTCTTCCAGCAATTTGAAAATATACCAACCACAGTAAATTTTGGCTTTCACCAGGTAATTCTTGCTGTACCTTTAATCTGATTCTGGAGCCTGTATGCCCCATATCTTCATATGTAATTACACTTTTCTTGCAATAATTTTCTCCAGAATAAAAAGCATTTGAAGGTGAGGCTAGAGGTGAGGTTGCTGGACTTAATTTTTGTAAAATCCATGTTTTTATCAAACTTTGTCTAATAAATTTTGTATTCTTTTGCAACCTTATACCAGAAATTTCTGGGAAGTCCATTAGCTGGGCAGCTCCTTCTAATACTGACATTTTGATATTTGGGGATTTTATCCATTGTTATCCATGGCAAACAACTTGCATGGTAATATAATATAAATTTCAAAAGACCAAGTCCACCTCTATCTTTTGAATGTTGTAAAATGTTTAATTTTATTCTACATTTTCCCCCCACTCCAAATAAATCTACTGACTGTTCTTTGCCAATCTGGCAAGATTTTTTCGGGAATTGAGATTGGCCACATTTTAAATAGATAGATAGATAGATAGATAGATAGATAGATAGATAGATAGATAGATAGATAGATCTTTAGGTAATATATTCATATTAACAGTCACAATTAATCCTAACTGGGAGAGTTTTAATTTTTCCCATCTTTGAAGATCTTTTTAAATTTCTCTCCATAATTTGATGTAGTTTTGAAATACATCTTTGTTACTACCTGTCAGGTACAGTCCCAAATATTTCACTGGACCTTTTGTTGTCTGGCAACCCAACCCTTTCTGCACCATGCTTTTTTCTTCTTGAGATAAATATCTTGTTATTATATTTGTTTTTTTTATATGTCAATTTTCTATCCTGAGAATTCACCAAAACCTCTAATGGTTTTCATCAGCTGTCTTTTTACACTCTGTGGGTGCATAATGGTTAGCTCTACATCATCCACATAACATTTTAACTTTTGTGCTCTTCTTAGCATCCTTCACCAAATTCCACTTATTGTCTGTTTTGATGTTCCTGACATCATCCCTACAATTCCAGATTATTTGTCTATATTCTTCCTGGGTGACTTGTCTTTCCATATCCTATATATTTATTTTGACTTTTATATTGCCATGAAAATGCTTGTGTAATTTCACCCTGGCTTCTTGAGTTGTCTTTTTAATATTGTAATTGTGTGTGACTGAGTTGTTAGCATCTTCTTTTTTAGATGCTACCATCTATCTTGAATCTCTTTCCCCATTCAGTTTTTCCTGCCACGAAATCCTACTTATTTCTATCTTTCTATTTCTTCAGAATGAAAAGATACAGTTTTGACATTGTTGTTAGATATCTCTCAATTTTCCCCTTCTAAATTATGCAAACATACTGTATGGGAAAGAATAAGCACACACCATTTTAATATAGTACCAGATATTTACCATGTATCCCAGAGTTTGGCAGTGTAACGTTTCAGTTTTTAGCAGCATCGGTTGAGCGTATATTTAACAGTTAACTGATACTTTGGCATCCATCACTGTTTAGTCTTATATATCTACTCAACACATACCATAAACATATATAAAACATTCCTATAAAGGTGACAATAACTTCCCAATTAACCTCAATACTAGAAGGCAGGTTTTTTTTCTTTAGCAATAAAATTGCAGCAAGCAGATAACTTTTACAAACTTAACACATTTTGCTAATATTACATAGCTTGAGTCATAGAAATGCGTTATCATTTGAATCAGACACACGTATCATACATATAGGTATGTAATTTTTTAAAGCCAGAAAACCCCAAAGCACAATGGATCTGCTCCAATGTTGACTGAAGATAATAATCAAGAGGTCTCTATAGGAATCCACATTTTCCTTTAACAAGTATAGCAAAGCTCCAGAAACAATTGGCACAATACAGAAACACTTAGAATCAGTCACATGTTCACATTATTATACAGCTTGTTTAAATTATGATTAGTCCCATTATAAAAATAATTGGGGGACTTTTCTGTAAATAACTCACTTTGTAGTCAAGTTATTGAAAATATTGTTTAAATCAGTATTTATGGAGAAGCTTTTTAAAAATCACTGAACCAGCTCTATAAGAAAGAGGTTTTGACCTCACTGGGAACATTAATAATTGTATTGCGACTCTTATAAACTTTGCTGTGTTATCTCAGAATTATGCAAGATTACACTTTACAACCATACTATTACCACACGGCTAACCATACCAAGCTATATATGTGGATGTGAACTGAGTCTGCATTTAAACTGCAGCTCAGCAAATAATGAATGTGCAGAGCTTGACAGTCAACGTTAGAATTACAAAATCCACATGTCCATGAAACTTTGGATTTTTCTAACCCTATAGCTCAATTTTCCTTATTCACTTTAGCATTACTTTCCAAGCCAGAATTCCTGTGCTTTTACGTACATATATGAAGTTCCTGAATGAGTCATACTCTCGTTCATGAGTAGAGTGCATTTCCACATCTACATCACTTTATGTGCAGAGCTTGACTATTGACTGCTGAATTGGAGAGAGAAACCTTTTCAAATGAGAAACCATGCATGTATTTATCAGATTCAAGAAATAATTAGATTATTTTATTTTCATAGAAGTAGATCTGGATCCAGATAGATAACTGCAGAAATCTGGATCCAACATACACAGGGTTTTACATTTTCACTTGCTTATTGTTACTGTTTGCTTTTGGCAACATCAGTTAATTTTGGTAGCTGGTTTTAATTCAGAATCTGCTATTCAGTAACTATTCTAGTTCACTGTCTTTATTAGATTCTTTGCTGAAACAGTTATGTATTAAATGTACATTCTTATATGAATTATAATTCCTTCCTATTCAGGCTGAAGGGATATATATCTTCAGCAACTTCTAGCTGTTGCCCAATGGATTTAGTTACTTTTGCTTAGGGATTTGAGAATTGCCACTAAAAATCTAAACACAGAGAGGTAGATGATTTTACATATTCCTCTCTCTCTTTAAAATGCTATAATACTATTCATGTCTGACTACACAGTTTATAACATTCAGAGAGGGAGATGAAACTATTTCATGTAAATGTTTGTAAAACTGGATATAAAATATGAAATGCTAGGTGTTAACTTTTTGATACTTTATATGTAGCTCTCACTACAGCAACTTTAAATCTTTAAGTAATCACATACTTAAATATGCTTTTCAATATGCTTTTTATAAACAGACTTTTCCCCCTTACAAGCCACATCTAGCCCCAATTAAAAAAAAAAATGAATTCAAATTCAGTCATTATTTATAACTCAAGCTGACACCAGGAACATTTTTTTCCCTTTGAGAAAAGATCTCAATCATTTATCATGGGCTACAGACATATGCATTTCCTTTGTATCCATTCAATTAGCAGATAATTTTGCAGGGGAAGCAATGCTAACCTCATTATATTGCAGATCTATAATTTGACTTGAAAACATTCTAGAATAATATATAAGGAGGCATAATACTACTCTGCAAGAATGTGAAATTAATACATGTATGGATCTGTTCAGTCACCAATCGTTAAGGTCTCGTGTCCTGCCATTATTGAGCAGATGCGCAGAACCAAACGCCCTAGGATAGCAACACTCATAATGCCCCTTTGAATAGTCACAATTACAGAAATGTTCAACCTTGTGACTGCTTTCTTCATAGTCATAAATCACAGAAATGTTGCTTCTTTTGCTTCCAAACACACAAAACAACAACTTTACAAATAAAGACCTGCAGCTAATATACACTCTGTGGCCAAGATCATTATGTTTCAGCCACTTCATTTTAACTTAAGGCAGCTTTGTATTACCCTGCCAATATAATTTTTCTTCCATTTTTTTCTTCTTCCATTGACAGAAGAGCAACAACTTAAAGGTTTTCCTGAATGTTTTGTTACACAAGGCATAACAAATTGGGTTAACAGTACTATTCACATAGCACAACCAGTAGCCAAGATGCCACAATGTTGGAGGAATGCAATCTGAGCAGAACGTGGAGACCAATACCATAATATTGTAGGGTGTCCAGGTAATTATAAAAGCTAGAAGAATAGCACTTAAAGTCTGGGCTGCTTTACGTTCCTTTATAAGAACCATTCTTTTCCTTTTAGTAATTTGATTACTTAGATTAGGATCCATATTTTTGATGGAAGTGTCTTTGGATAAACTGGCAGAACAAGGAGTGATTTTTACTTTTCGGCAGCCATTGTTAGTTTCTGGTGCACCATCAGCTTTAACCACCAACCTGAACTTATAAGCTACACATTTATTACTTTTTTGAATATGACTTTTGGTTGGTGTTAGAAAGTATTTCTGGGTCTCATAGTCATTCTCCTTACGTTGGTCTTTGATAAAAGCTTCCTTTTTCTCCTCTTTTTGCTCATCAACCTTCCCTTTAACAGGGGTCTTATAAGCGACTTGAAAGACTGGATCAGAGGGACATTTCTCCTCTTCCTCGGATGATGCGTAGCTGCTGCAAGTAGTTAGCTGCTCTGCCCTAGACCAGTCTTGGCAGGTGTTTTGAATCTGAGATGCTTTTGCTGTTGCAGAAGTACTTCGACTGGATGAAGACCACGAAGCCTGAGATTGTTCCCTTTTGGTCAAATTCTGTTGCCTGCAGCTAAAGCAGGATTTCAGCAGTGTTTTCTGAGGCTTTATCATTTCAAACTCAGTCACAGAACTGGAGCCCTGAAGTTCAGCTAAGTCCTTGGTTCGTTTTTCAGTCTCTTTGTAAATGCGGCAGTATAAAATAGTCATCACTGACACTGGGATATAGAAAGCAGCAATTGCGGTACCAAAGGTGACAATAGGCTCGTACAAAAATTGTATCTGACATTCTCCAGGTGGGACAGTTCGCTCCCCTACAAGGTACTGCCAGCATAAGATTACAGGTGCCCACAGAATGAAAGAAATTAGCCAAGCTAAACCAATCATAATCCCAGCTCTTTTGGGTGTGCGTTTAGCCCTATAGGTTAAGGGACGTGTAATAGAAAAATACCGGTCAAAGCTGATAACTAACAGATTCATTACTGAAGCATTACTAGCTACATAATCAAGTGCTAGCCATAAATCACATGCCAAAATTCCAAGAGACCAGTGCCCTATTAATATGTATGATGTATAAAGATTCATTGAAAATATTCCAATTATAAGGTCTGCACATGCGAGACTCAGTAAATAGTAATTGTTCACTGTTTTGAGCTGGCTGTTGACTTTGAAGGATATCATTACAAGAACATTTCCCACAATGGTTATCAAACTTAAAATGGCTGTTACAGTAGCAATGGTAATTACTTCCCAAAGGCTATGGCCTTCAAGTGGTTTTTGGCTAGAAGTTGAACCATTGGTGATGGTTGAGTTGCTATGTAACTTGTCTTCCATTCTTTTTTGTGGTGGATTAACATCAGCGTCTTTTAATTTGCTCTAGGTTCTTCATCTGTAATTTGAAGTTATCCTTTAAATGACAAAGAGAGAGAAAATTCATAAAATAAAGGGCACTTGCCAAATTTGTTTAGCATTAGAAAACTATTAAACCATTGCCAATTTCAATTATGAATTTCACCAAATTTCAAAATAAGGATATATGAATCCTTTGGAGGAGAGTTCAGCAAAGCAACTGAAGTACCCCTCCAAACTTGCTGTTCAAAGTGTTGATGTATCACATTTTGCTGAAGGCTTAAAACACCCACTTTGAAGGCCTCTACTTTCCACCTTCTCTTCAACAGGTGAAATTATTATTGGGGGTTTCATTTTCATGCTCACATGATGTGAGAAGGCCTTCGAAGTGGCTGGGCTAAGCCTCCAACAGAATACACAACCTCAATGTTTTGAGCGGTGAATTCAGAGGAACACTTTAGCTATCTCATGAAGTGTTTCTCTGAATGGTTTGCAGAATCTGAATTTAAGTATCTTTGCATTTATTCAGTCAACAGATGCAACAGATGCTCAGTGATATCTTTCATCCAATCAAGTTGCGTTACCCTGGAGTATGTAGGTTCCTGATTTTTACAGATCATTTTATGTAACAGAAATTAGAATACAATTCTATAATTTATATAATACGTTCACTAACAATGAGAAAAAGCCCCACTAAACAGGAATTAATAATGAAAATCATATTTTAGTTTTTATTAATATCCAATCAACATTGTTTTATAATGACTTACTTGACAAGAGAGGCTCAAAGAGTCATTTTTATAACCCTTTCTTGCTACAAGCTATCAAAGAGGTAATTTATTACACAAGAGATAAAACTATTAGCATTAAAGTGATGAAACCAAGACTAAGATTTCAAAATAAAAATCCATCTTGAGTTCAACCATGCAAATATCTGCTTCAAACTATATATAAAAAAAAAGGCACTGGGGACATATGCTACAAACTTGGCTTGAACTGAGCCTGAACAAAATATCTCCTCTGTTCCCAGATTGCTGTGTTGTACAAAAGTTAGGCTAGAGTGATGATCTTAAAATTTTAACCACTGTTAAAATGATAGTAAGTTTTATCTCTTCTTTCCTGATGAAAAAACAATTAAAGCTGCCCCATTACTGTACATCTGTAACCTTTACAAATAAAGCATCTGTCAGGGTCAGTTAAAAGTGATACACACAGTTTGTATTGTCACAGCTGGAAAAGGTAGCGTTAACTTAATTTCCATGCATATTCATTGGCTCCCAATAAAATTGCTTCTTTGTGCCTACCGAATAATGAAAAGCCGACATGGTTTCTGATGGCACATTCATACTGTATCTAGCTTGGTGTTATGCAAAGAAGTAAACCAATTATATCCCATTCTTCAGTTTCTCAACAAAAACTGTGTTACAACATAAGTGTATTGCACTGTTTTGCTATTTAGCCATTTTATATAAAGGCTACAAAGTGGAGATCATGTTCAGTGTCAGAGTTTGCCTAAAGAACAAACATTTTAAGAGTATTTATACAGATCTGATTTCCTCTTTGCAAGGGCCTTGAGTTACAGTAGAGCAGCCTGGCAGAGCTCCCCTGTATGGGGTACTGGTGCTAGCTTCCCTGAACAGTAGCATAAAGCAACTTGAGTAGAAGCAAGGCAGCTGAATCTAATTACCACGATAATTTCCCACAATTCTCCAGCTCAAAGTTAGATTAAGCATACTATGGAAAATTAAAATGGAAACTAAACTCAGTTCCATTGTACTGGTAACATCTTCCATCTGAAAAAAAAATGTTTAAAGATGGAAAGAGTGAGGATGTTCTAGCAGCTGGCCCTACCGGAGTGCTAGAATTGTAACATCTGATTACAGACGATGCTTGGAAATGCCAGCCATGGATTTGTGATTATTAACAGAGTGTAATAAACAAAATAGTATAAAATAAAACAACATATTGGGAGATGCAGTGATGCACTTCCCACACTGGCACTCTTCAAGCACTTTGGGCTAAAACACCCATTATCCCCAGCCAACAGTGAAAGGCATGTTCCACACATCTGGAAGGCACCAACTCAGGGAAGGTTAACACATTGGAATATATTCAGATGTGAATCTCCAGATCCAACATGCTGTGACTCAGAGAGCGTTCTTTCCGAATTTCCCTGTACTGTATATCAGAGTTAGTATGGTCCTATAATGCTGCAAACATGTTTTAGGAACTGAAATAAGCCTTCAAGGGGCCTTAAAAAACCAAAATAGAAATTGGATCTGACAAGCTAATAGAAGAAACTAAAGATGACATTTAGCGAAAAAAATACCGCAAGGAGAGAGATAAGGCCAAAAAGGGTGCTGGGCCAGAAGAAATTGAATTATGTTATTGTCAAAAAAGGACAATTAAAAGTGTAGCAGATAATAGAATATACTGTTGTGATACAACAAAGACTAAAATATTGAGGTTGGTTCAGCTCAAAGACCCTGGTGGGTTAGAGAAGAGACCAGAATGGCTCTAAGGACAGGACTCAACAATCAGACAAAAGGGAGCAGATCTCCAACAGCCCATACTGGCCAAAAAGAGCTGGACTGATCTCATCTTTTCGAGGTCACCCCAACAGACTGGTTGGTGAAGCAAAAATGTGTTGCAACCAGAGAGAAAATACTTAATACCAATCAGGTAGGCACCTTATTTTGCATCAGGTATGGGTTGGAGAATCAGATGAAGTCAACACCCTGAAGGCATGGCAGACAAAAAAAAGGTTGCCAGGGCCTGTTTGTGGTGCGGTTAAATGCAAGTGAGAAAAGTCCCTATAGAAGTATAAAACTAGAAGCCTCCACGGGGAAGGATCAAGAAGGCAGTTGGAGTCCTAGTATCAGAGCCTCACTCTTTCACATTTGCATACAACATCAGTGCACGTATAAAAGGGGCGGGGCTTTGATTTTGAAGTGGCAAGTTCGTTTTTTTTTTTTTACCTTTTCTGCACACACCTCTCTATAAAATATTATGTGGGCTCCCTTCCTAGACAGCCGTGGGATTGCTACTGAGCTGAGCACGGGGCAATGCACGCCCCACAAGAGCGAGGTGCAGCTGCAGAGACGCAGAGAGAGAAATCTGTACCTTTTAATTTTTTATTGCTTAGGAATTTGCTTTATGGATATTTCTCCAGGATGTGATTCAGATACAGTTCTGCGTTGTTCTTATGAAGTACGTTGTTTGAATTAATAGACTTGTGACATCTTTTGGTACAAAGTTAGTTACCTTTCTATCATGTGAGGTATTTAAACGGGAATGACTTCTTAATATGCATGTTTATGGTTGCACCCACTTTTCACCACCAGGCGTAATATTTACATCCTATTACGGTTCAATAAATCAGATAATACCGTAACTATTAGAAATTTAGGCTTGGACCCATTTCAGCCGCCATTTCTGTGTTTCTTCTCCAAGAACCCCTAAACTCCACGAACAAGAGCCAAGCGCTCCCTCGCAACAGCCTCGCGACCGATTCCTCGACCTGGCCCGCTTCTGAAGGCCAGGAGCGCCGCGTGGGAAGTTGCCGCCGCGGGCTCGGCGACCCCATCCCTCGGGCCGGGCTGACGCGGCCTCGAGTTCCTGGAGCGGCCTGTTTTCCGGCGGAGGCGGAGATCC